GGGTTTACCTGCAAGTTCTCTCAGAAGACTACAATATATACAAAATTCCGCTGCACGGGTTCTAACACACACATCATCACGCCACCACATTATTCCTGTGCTACAACAATTACACTGGCTTCCTGTAAAATCACGGTTTGATTTTAACTTTTAAAGCAGTGCATGGGTTAGCACCCAGTTACATCTGCAACCTGTTGACCCTCGCCACCGGAGCCTGCAGTCTTCGTTCTGCAGACTTACATTGCATCAGCCACGGTGTAAACTCAAGACCATGGGTGGGAGGGCTTTTTACCGTATACAGAATCTTCTGAACATACAGAAGATATAAAAAACTGCCTTCTTTCATCTCCGCAATATTGCACGGATCAGACCATTTCTCTGATGCAGAGAGGCTTATCCATGCCTTCATCACATCACGTCTTGATTTTTGTACTTTGTACTGACTTTTTGGGGGTTTACCTGCAAGTTCTCTCAGAAGACTACAATATATACAAAATTCCGCTGCACGGGTTCTAACACACACATCATCACGCCACCACATTATTCCTGTGCTACAACAATTACACTGGCTTCCTGTAAAATCACGGTTTGATTTTAACTTTTAAAGCAGTGCATGGGTTAGCACCCAGTTACATCTGCAACCTGTTGACCCTCGCCACCGGAGCCTGCAGTCTTCGTTCTGCAGACTTACATTGCATCAGCCACGGTGTAAACTCAAGACCATGGGTGGGAGGGCTTTTTCACACAGTGCACCTAAGCTTTGGAATGTACTCTCCATCAGCATTAGAAATGCTGCCTCTGGACTGTTTTAAGAAACTTCTTAAGACTCACCTTTTTAGCATAGCTTTTAACTTAGGATGATCATTTTGTTTAACTTTTTATTTCTATTTTATGCTTCATATTTTTATTGTTTTATTGTATCTTTTATTGTTGTGCTGTTTTGTTTGCCTTGTGTATTAGTGTTTTGCCTGTAGCGCTTTAAGTATAAAGCGCATTACAAATCAAATGTATTATTTTATATATTATTCTATATTATGCAACAGGCAACTATCAATGTTTTGATATTAATATATGGATTTGTGAGCTTTTAGTTTATCTGACTTACTGTATACATGCATATCAGACACAGTTAATAACATGACTTGCGTAAATTACAAGCAACACGATTTCACAAAAGTTAATAACTGAAATAACGTACAGTAAAAGCTATAATAGATGTGAAGTTGGTTTTATAATTATATTCGGATATTCAGACATTCTCCTTAAATGTCATTAAAGTATTTGCAAATTCTAAATAGGAAAATCATAAAAGCAGCCAGTGACTAGCAAAGTACAACATTGTCCACAATCAATTAGATAATGTTAAATGTTGTTTTGAAGACATACTTGCAAGCTAATTTCGATCGAATATTCAACGTAACATGGTAAACAATATACAGACTGCTAAATGAACGAATGTGCGAATATAAAACCAACTTTACCTCTATAAAGCTATACAATAATCGCACTAGTTGTAGTTATTATTGACTAGTCTATAGGACATCAAAACGACGAAAAATAATAAAATAACAGTGTCTACGTGACATTAGTCTGATGATAAAATACTGTTGATGAAATCAGATGAAGTCGATGATATGATCTGTTGATCGATCATCATCCGCTATATGTACGTTACCTGAGATTCTGACGGACAAACAGCCGCTCGTGCTCCTCTCTTTGACGTCTTTAACCCACAGTGGCATAAACAGCACTTTCATTGCCTTACAAACATGTCTGAAATGCTAGGATTGATCAAAATAGCGCCGGTGTGTGTAAATCCAGAAATCAACAAACGTCACTGTCTTCCGCGTTTCGTCATTCACTGGCGACCACGAAGAGATGTCTGCATTGCGTCACACACGCGCGCGCACGAGCTGTTTGTTGGTACTGTACGGTAGATAGTGCTGATTTAATCATTTTGATGTGATTAGGTTTGTATTGTGAAATAAAGCACTAGGTTTGCGATGCAATTTAAAGATATGGATGTTTTAACGAGTTCTGTAGTCTACATAAAAAAAACGAGCAGTGGTGGAAAGATTGTTGAAAAATCATACTCAAGTAAAAGTACCATTACTTGCCCAAAATGTAGTGCAAGTAGAGAAAAAGTATGTAAATATTGCTCAAAAAAATGTAGAAAAATCATACTCAAGTAAAAATACTATTACTTGCCCAAAATGTAGTGCAAGTAGAGTAAAAGTATGTAAATATTACTCAAAAAAAAAAAGTAAAAAATAGCCCTTTCAGGCCCGTAGCCAGTCTGGTGAAAGGGGTGGTTCTTTTTTTCTCAAAAAGTGGATTTTTTTTGCACTTATACACCTCAGTTTCTATTTAACTATGAGATTTAAATACTACATTTTAGTCATATATATATATATATATATATATATATATATATATATATATATATATATATATATATATATATATATATATATATAAAATTTTTTTTTTTTTTTTTGCTGGATTAGCTAGTCAGATGTTATCATAATCACACTTTTTGATGTACTGAAAATATTTCCTGAAAAAATGCAATAAAGAAAAATTAAAACAAGACTATTTTTAAATACAAATTTATTACATCATTTATCATTAGGAAAAAATAGCAATCTGTTAAAGTTTTAAAGTAAAAAAAAGTAGCCCACTATCATTTATTAGACAAAAAACAAACTGGCCAGCACATTCAACTGTCCTCAGTCACAATTTGGCCATTTTAATAAAAATTATAATTAAAACATAATAATAATAATAAAACGATAATAATGAATTCTTTAGAAATTTTCTAGCCTCTTTGGTAAAAAAAAAAAAAAAAGTATAAAAATTCCTGAATATCAACAACACCCAGATAGCATACAAATGTAGGCCCCTTTAGGCAGTTATGTTGCACTGTTGGTCTTTTTTCGGGCCAGACAAAATAAACGTGAGCCTGAAGTGGTCCACCTGTACAATGACAAAAGGTGGCCAAGATTCCAATTAATATAAGGACCATTTAAGGCAAAGATTTGGCACTTATGGCAAAATGTAATCTGAATGTGAACCTAATGTGGCCCATGTGGAAAATGGTCAATTTGGCCCAAATGATAGAGGACAAATGTGGGCCACATTTGGCAAAAATTTGGCATAGTCATTAGAGGGTAATCTGGGTCTAAACTCAAAGTGGCTCACATGTGTAGGTGCAAATGTGGGCCAGTTATTATAAAACAAATGTGGGCCACTTTTGGCAAATATTTGGCACAGTAAGCTCTGGCTAATGTGGCTGTGAGTCTAAAGTGGTCCAGATGAGATATGACAAATGTGGCCTATTTATCCTTATACATATGTGGACCACTTTTGGCAAATATTCGGCACAGTAAGCTGTAAGCTCTGGCTAATGTGGTTGTGAGCCTAAAGTGTCCCAGATGTGATAAAACAAATGTGGCCCATTTATCCTAAAAACATATGTGGGCCACTTTTGGCAAATATTCAGTACAGTAAACTCTGGCTATGTGGGTCGGATGTAAGTGTCTGGTGTGGGCCATATCTGGGCCAAATTAAAAGCAAACTGTGGCTCAGAATAGGGTCAGTTCTGATTCATTTGAATGAATTCTGGCTGATATGTGGTATTTCTATGGCTTAATTATGGCCCAGATCTAGTAAACAAGAGCGTGCCGCCCAAGTGCCATCATTTTATGCGGTATGTGGGCTGAATTTTGCTATCTGGGTGGTCAGTGGATTTCCACATGACTATACGCACTTAGTGTGCTTAGGTGTGATGCGTCATCTTCTTGATTTGTGGATCAGTGCTTCTGGAAAATTACATTGTCGTATTCCTTACACACAGGTGACATTAATTTCAGACAAACTGATTGAACTCAGAAGTTACATACCTTCAGAATTTGCTAGAAAGCCAAGGGGCCTAGATGAGAGGTTGTGTTGGAAAGAAACAAGGCAGTTCTTACTTTATACTGGTCCAATCGCTTTGATTTTTTGCCTACTAAGGTCTATCAGAATTTTATGCTGCTATCTCTGGTATACATCTTGGCAAGTCCTACATACTGTTTGCTCTTAAATGACTTTGCCAACACACTGCTTAGATCATTTGTTAAACATTTTGGAGAAATGTACGGTCATGGGTTTTTAGTTTTGATAACATTCATGGTCTGACTCATCTTAGTGATGATGTGAAGGTGCATGGACACTTAATATAATGGTTTCCTTATGACAACTACTTGAAACAAATTAAAGGGATGGTTAGAAAACCTAGCTCACCACTGCAACAAGTTGTACGGCAAATGTCTGAACTTCATTCAAACAGTTTAAAAGATAAGGAAACATGTAAATCCAACAAAAAAAATTGAATGAGGCACTCAGATGGACCGGTTCTATATGGCTTTACAGAAACAGTCTCCCAATTCAAAAAAACTGTCATTTGATGACTATGGCTATCCCCTTTCACACAGTGATACCGGTAAATATCCTGAAAATTTGCGGAAAGACTTTACCGGTAAATTAAAAAAAGCGCTGTTCACTCAAGCGAGGACGGTACAGATTTTTTTTCCGGAAAAGACCATTCACACATCCATTCCAAAATACCTGTAAATTCTGACATCATTAACCAGAAATGACCTCTAAACTGGGCTTGTATTTGTAAACATTTGACTAAAATACAAACTCTGTAGATGGATCGTATTGTGAACAACTTTGATGAAAACATTTAGAAAAGTACTTTCGCATGTCAAGCTTGAAGGTAAACAACGGCTTATCATAAGCATCTTATCGATAAGTATTTACACAGTTGGCATTAAGAAGGAACATAGAAACGTTATCTGACTAACATCTAGCAGTTAAAAATGTGTCTGGAAAAAAATTCAAAGGCTTTTATCTTCATTAACCGCGCCGACGTAAATTCGTCTGAGTGTTCTGATTGGCTAAAGTAGACGTCTTACGTCAGCGCGTTCTAGACGTGCACGCGCTCTTTCCGGCAATATTCCTTCTGCGTTCACACAGCGCCGGCAAATTACCGGTAATGTTACCACTTCTCTTTCCGGAAAATAGCCTGTCCACCATGCTGTCCACACATACAAACCTTTCCGGAAAATTGCGGAAAGGTCTGTATGTGTGAAAGTGGTCATCAACTCATCTGAGAGGGACAGGTGTATTAAGATTAACAATAAGATTGTTTTGGTTCAAAATATAGCCTAACAGTCTCTGAGTTCGAGGAATACATTGTTTACAAAGAATATAGACATATCGCAAAGTTTTTTTGACTACCCCATTGATTCTACAAAATTGGGAATTTGCTTTTTGATGTAAGTTTGACGGTATTGTGCAGAAGTGTACGATTGCCTTTGAAGGTTGGATTTGTTATTTCAATTTTACATGCAGACCCATCCTAGGTCGCAGCCTTAGCATTGTGTTGTGTTGTGATTTTTAGCATTACATATTTTCTTGAAGAAAATTATTGATTTTTATTGATTATTAATTTTTGTGCAAATAAACATCAAGTTTATACTGTGGAGACAGCCTGTCTTCCCTAATTCTTGTAGGTGTGTATCCCGTGTTTATACCAATGTCTTCAGTTTTAAAGATCTTTAAGAAAAAGTATACATTTTTAAGTAAATGACAAGTATTTGTAAAATTATACATATAATATACTAATATCAATGAACTAGTAGTGTACTTGGTGTACTACTAGCACATGAGACTAAATTGGCAATTTATAAAAGTATGAGTTCCTATTTTAAGTTTAAAATAAATAGCACACTTTAATAAACTTATTTTTATAAGGGTGTGAATTACTTTAAGTAAAACCTCTTTCATTTTTTTATAGTTAAAAAGAGTACATATATTATAGATAGATAATGCATAGATAATATTGTTCATAACCTTACAGCTAATGTCTGTTTGTTTTTTTAAGCCATGTTTCACATTGTGGAGTTTTTGGAAACCCAAGAGGTGGAAGTTGTGCCAGCGCTTTGGGTTACAGATGAAATTTGTCAATGGCCAGCTCACTACAAAGCGGATGAATTAGTGAAGGCCGTACGGAGCCAGGAGCAGCCTGGAGTCACATGGGATGCATTTCGTGTTCAAATTTTATATACAGCTGGTATGCATATCACATGTACTTTCATGATTTAATGGTTTAACCAATCATCTCATGAGATTCTATATATTTTTACAGCAAACTACAAACATGCTTGTCTAAAACTTCCTGAAGCTGAAGCCTACACTGATCTGCAAACAGCAGAGGAAGACAAGGATGACTATCCAAAGAAAAAACGAAAACGTCTGTAAGTGCAAAAACATGTTTAAGTACCAGTTACAAGAGAAATCCAGGCAAAATGTATTTGAAATGAACAAACAAAAATGTTGGTAGCTACTGAATTTTAGACCATGCCCAGAATTGCAATCTAAAAAATAATACAATGGTCAGAACATGATGAATCAGAGCCCTCTATACTGAACTTACATATGAGACAGCAGTGCAGAAAACGTGAGTTCTTAATAAGCATGGGGCAAATGGGAAAAAAAGAATTCAGGACCAGACTACAACTATTAAGAAATCTCTTTTCCGATCTTGATTTAAAAGAGATTAAATTTTTTTTTAATTGATTGAAATTGATTTTGTATTTATTTTCTGTTTTCCATTACAAGGCCAAACATTCACTTTGAAAGTGATAGTGAGGAGGAAGTTCCTGTCAAACAAAAAATTACATTGCCTCCAGCCCCAAAAATAAAAACGCAGAACTTTGATAAACAGTCTGCAGTAAGGAGAAAAGTTCAACGGCCTGAACCACAAAAACAAAAGACAAGCCTAGATCTCAGACGGTCTCTTACAAGTCCTAAGCCTAGACAAAGTCCTGAGCCTTGGCAGTCTGTAAGAAGCCCTGAGCATAGACAATCAACAAGTCCGGAACCAAGATGCTCTGTGACTAGTCCTCAACCCCTTGAACTACATGAAAGCCAAAGACAATCAGGAACAACAATTTCAAATAGTCTGTCTTGTAAGTAATTTATGGAATTTGTGCATTTTTTTCTGTCTATAAACAATTTTTATGCATATATATATTTTAGTCTGGAGCATCCTTAATAAGGATTATTTTTCCAGTTCAACAGATAATAGTGTGTTTTTTTCCTAACATGTTCAATGGCATTATTTTCAGCTCTACTGCACAAACTTCTTACAAATCAAGAAATTATAATGGAACAACTTAAAATGATTCAGATGAACCTGCAAAATACAGGCCAACCTGTCCAGGGACAGGATTCCCTCAAGAGAGTAGTACTGCCACTCAAAGATGTGGCTGCCCTCCTTGCGTTAGAAAAACGCCTCAGAGAAGAGGAAGACCTCAAAAACAAAATGGTAATAACATCACCTTACTACATAAAAATACTACATTTCTACTAAATATACTACAAATATTTTACCATATTTTTTTTTACAAAATGGAGTAAAAACACCCAAGGGTAGTCATGACATCCAACCTAAAATACCATTCTAAATTCCAACTCAGGAAAAAGTTAAATTATACCTTTTATTAGAACTGTGTAATGAGTAAAATGTTGCTTTATGTATCCATAGATTTCTAATTTGACCTTTTCAGATCACTACCTTCAGTGTCATTGGAGGAGTTGACATTAAAGATAGTGTTTGGCGAATCATGAAGCACTGTTTTACCAACACCCTTGCCAAACAGCTCAACTGGCGTGGCATCAATGGCAAAACAGCTTTCCATGGACTGCATATGAAAGATGTAATTACTGGTGAGTGTTTAATGCATTCATATCATCACACTCATGAGTCTTCCTCCTTATTTTCCATGTCATTTTCTTGTGCATTACATTAAAACCAGAAGAACAAACAAGATCTTGTTGTTAATAGGGTGATATCGTGTGGCTAAAACAAACATTATTGTGTGTATTTGGTGTGATGCATATTTATTTTGGACAGTGTTCTTCGGTGCTTCTCATGAACTGATGTAGATTAGTGGGGGCGTGTTTAACAAGGCATTTTTGGGAGGTTTAGATGAGTCTGCTTTTAAATAGAACATGTATAGATTAGAGACTTTCATTTTTGCAGTTTTACTTGTCTAGCATATGCATGAGCAACTTGCAACACACCAAAGATACAGGAAAACATTTAATTGACGTCAGGTCTACCCTTGAATATTATTTTGTTGCATTATTGCTTTTTGAAGCATTAATTTTATAAAAAAAAAAAAAAGTTTTTGAAAATAAGTAAAAGTTGAATTTAATCATCTCAGCTGTGTATTAGTGCTTAGTCTGATATAATAACTTCATAGGTGTTATTTCTCCAAACATAGACATGGATATTAACTAGGGCTGCTCGATTATTGGAAAAATCAAAATCACGATTATTTTGGTCATCATTGTAATCACGATTATTCAAAACGATTATCAGTTGAAGTCAAAATTATTTGCCCTTCTGTAAATTTTTTTTATATATATAAATATTTCTTAAGTTATATAGAACAGGAATTTTTTTAAGTATTTCCTATAATATTTTTTTCTACTGGAGAAAGGCTTATGTTTTATTTCGGCTAGAATAAAAGCAGGTTTAAATATTTTGAAACCTATTTTAATAGCTTAATATTATTAGCCTATTTAAGAAATATATATTTTTGATTGTCTGCAGAAGAAACTACTGTTATATAATGACTTGCCTAATTACACTAATTAAGCCTTTGAATGTCACTTTAAGCTGAATACTAGTATCTTGAAAAATATCTAGTGAAATATGACGTACTCTCATCATAGCAAAGATAAAATAAATCAGTTATTAGAAATGAGTTATTAAATATGTTGTTTAAACTGTGCTTTAAGCATCTTCACTGTAAGAAAAATACTTCAGCTACAAAAGTCCTTCAGTCAAGAGCAGTGAGGGATTTTCTCCTGTTGTTGTTTGATTAATAATAAAAACAGGCGGCAACAGGAATATTGCGCACTGTCACTTTAAGAATAGTGTGGCTCTGATATGGTTTCTCTTTCACGTGTCTTTTGATTCTCAACTTGTTTGTTTATTACACAAACGAGGGTTAATATGAATAATTACTAAACACCGCGCTCTGACAAAAATGTGCATGTATTTGACCATTAAAGCGCTCACATTAAGATGGCGTTAGATGTGTGTGCTCTGATCGTCTCTGAGCCTGTCCGAGGCTAAGCGTGGTGCGCACACACACAGAGTGTGTGCTCTTTTGCGCTCTTAAAAATATGAATGATGTGCATCCCGTGCTGCAAAAGTTACATTACAGTACATGCTTTTAATCATTTTCACGTGGAACTGAGCTTTGCAGAGCAACAAATGTGTACAACTGGAAAGGGGGTGGTATATGATGGAATAATCGTTTATCTCTGTGAATGGTTTTTCACAATCGTTAGAAGCCGAAATCAAAAACGGATTTTCAATTAATTGCACAGCCCTACTAATTCATATGGTTTTGTACTTGTAAATACAATGCATAGCCAAAACCAATATGTTTACCTAGATCAAACTCATGATATGGGGAAATCACTTAGCATTACAATTAGGTAACAAGATTGCAAGTTCAATATATTTAACGGCAAACATAAAACACTTTGCTAAAAAAAAAGACTTTGACTTAACACAAACTAACACATTCACACTGTTGCAGAAAGTAAAAACGGAAGAAAAGAAAAAGTTTAAAAGGATGCACTGATGGAATCCCAAGTTTAGCAATGTATTTGCAAGACCAGCTGAGTGAACAATCAACCATTAAATGTACCTTTCTATCATTTATAGTTTTGGTGGTCAATTCTCTGGAGTGATGCCTTAGGAAGCCAATCATGTTGGTGGGTGGTGGCTGCTGGAGTGAAGTTCCGTTGCAAGTTTAAAGCTTACAGCGGGTTAAGACTGTAGTCTACAGATTTAGGTCATAAGCTGCATCTCTACGACCATTTGTCTGATCAAAGTTGACATGTTCTCAGATAGTATATTGCAGTGTCTGATGTCACGAGGTTGGTTCCGGTTCCTCAACTGAACAGAAGGAAGTAATGAACTTAACACAGTGACTGGAAAGCCTAATTCAACCCAATGAAGTTGTGGACGTGCAGCTGGTGCAAACACAAGCATCAAATTTGTGTCCAATATAAAAATATATATTTATTTACGATCATTTGATGCACTTTGGTCCACTCTCTGTATTATGCTGCCTGACTGCCTGTCTGGGATTCAACCATGGTAGTAACGGAGTGAACACAGAGACTGGACAACCTAATTTAACCAAATGCATGAAGTTGTGGACATGTATCGCAGAGCTGGTGCAAATACAAGCATTTAAGTGGCTTAAGTTGTGTATTTTTCTTATGTTAATACCTTTTCGTTTATTGCATTTTGGTTCACCGCTGCTCCAGCGCTGCCCGACGAGGCGATTTACATTCAGACTAATGCAATGATTAAATAGATACATGACTTCATGCTTTACTAAGTCACATTCGTGTGTATTGTCAAGACATATTCCCTTTTCAAGTCGATCAAGTCGATCTCTCAACATGTTTGAAGGATAAAAATCTGCCATGTGAAAAAGCGATCTTAGTTTGTTTTGAACACAAAAAGAGGTGAGTAGCTGTAGTAATGAAAAGTGTTAATTTGTCCGTAGTGTACGAGTGTGATTGCCTGTGTGTGGATGTTTCCCAGAGATGGGTTGCGGCTGGAAGGGCATCCATTGCGTAAAAACACATATGTGTATATATATGTTTATGTATATATGTATATGTGTGTCTAATATAAATTTTTATATCAGATTATTGTATCTGCACCTGCTCCACATCCACAACTTCACACATTGGGTTAAATTATGCTTTCCTGTCTCCGTGTTCAGTCCATTACTTCCACTGTATCTGTTCAGCTGAGGGAACGGAACCAACCCCGTGACATCAGACACAGCGATATTCTAAGATGGCGGCACCCTAGGTCTAAAATCTATAGTAAAACATGCCGATTTCTTTAAAATAGCTATATTAATGGAATTTAATATATTTTCATTAAGGTGGAATCCAATGTACAAAATAATGTAAACTTTACTGAGTGCTTGATATTTTCCCTTTAAAGTTATGTGACAATGTTAAGTTGTAGAGATCTTCGCGAGACTAAATTTTGAATCCTGCTCCCGCCCGCACCCGCCAGGTTTTAGCCCGAACCCGACCGCTCACGCTTACATTCAGCATTTGTTGTCCTGCTGCCCGACCTGCCCCGTTTTCTACCCGCCGCGCCCGATCCCGCTAAAGAGCGGGGGGAGAACAAAACCAAAAACCACCCAGCTATACAGAGTCCAGACAGCCTATAACAAGCTGTCTGTATAAACACACACACATAAGCACCAAGCACACACACACAGACAAAGCTCTATCTCTCTCTCATTCGCGCGCACCAAACACACACACAGGCAAAGCTCTCTCACTCATTGGCGCGCGCACACACATACACACACACACACACACAGACACACACATACACACAGCAACAAACAAGATAAACACAGCATCGTGCTATTTCATTTACACCTAACATACGCATGCTCACCCGGGAGTCGGGAGCGATATTGCTATACGGCCCACTCCCGTCCCAAATTAAACCAGTTAACGACCGTTCCCGCGCTTTATTCGGAAATATATTCCTGCGCTGCAGAAATCTGGTCGGGTCCTGCGGCTCCTTTGCAGACCTCTATTAAGATGTATGATTTAGAAGCTTATCATGTGGGCAAATCTTCCAAATTGACCCAGCAGAAGTCCTAAACATATCCAATAGAGAGTCACAAAGCCATCTGCTTGGGTGAAACAAACTCACTGTGTTTTAATGTTCTCAGCAAGGGGTTGTGATGGGAAAAAGTGTGATTTAATAAAGGCCTTACCTTAGTGCAACCTCAGTCCAGTGGTGTCTGGAGTTCCTACACAGTGGTACAGTATGTAAACATTTGAAAACTTGTTATTTTGTAAACAACAAGGCATTCTCTGTTAACCTTATAAAGGCCTGAATGAAATCAGAAAAGACAGTTCAGTATGATGTTCCAAGCATGTGTCAAACTTGCATCTTTGTCCACCACCAGAACATCTTTAAAGTTTTACTATTGAGCTCTACATTTTGCACTTGATTCTTGGGTCACCAGACTATTTATATTTTTAGGGACTGTGAGAAACAACAGGCTCACAGCAGCAGCAACGGATCAAGAGGTAGAGTTTTACATTAAAAGATGGCTTCAACTTGCCAGTGACCGAGATGGAGGGAGAAGAGAAAGAGAGGAGCGAAGACGCAGTCTCCAGAAAAACTGTAAGTTGGTTGCAATGTTTGTTTTATGACATTTCTGGAAGCAAAGCACACAACTCCAAACTAAATGCAGAAAATAATATTAGTTAAATAAATTAGTTCTTATTATTTGCAATATTTTATTGACAACTTTTTTATTTTTTATTATTGAAAGGTTTACAAGATGGCACTGATGGACCCAGTCAAGAAGAACACTAAATAAAAAATAAATGTCTTTACATAGTGTGATTTGCCATGTTTTTTTTTTTTATTAGGGACCGAGCATATACGTTGCGTAGGCCCTATTGGAATTGCTCTGTATTTTTTATTAGGGACCAAGCACCGGAATAGTGCGTATACTGTAGGCCCTATTGGAATTGCTCCGTTTCTTCTTCTCTAGAATAAATCGCAATTTTGAGGGTCGAAACATGCTCAAACTCATGAAAGTTTGCACACGCACCAGAGGTGGCGAAAATTTATGCTTGTTATAGGTTTCGGAAGTGGGTGTGGCAAGATGACTCGACAGCGCCACCTATGCACGTTTGACCGACTGGCCCCTAAACTATGATTCACACACACATACGAAAATTGGCACACACATCAAACATGCCAAAACCTACAAAAAAGTCTCTTGGAATGAAATCTCAAACCCAACAGAAAGTCATATATTTTAAACTTCCTCTGCCGAAAAAGTGAAATTTTTTTTGCTGTTTCCAGGCGTTGTATTTTAATGAATTCCTCCTAAGGATTTTCTCAGATCAACATCAAAATTGGGTTTTTGTCATCTAAAGGCTTTGGTGACGTTAAATTGCGAAGATCTAGGGCCTCTATCATACACTCGGCGTAATGTGGTGCAAGGCGCGACGCAATAATTTTCAGCTTGGTGCAAGAGTTGTCTTGAGGTGTTGCGCCACGCTGTTTAAATAGCAAATGCATTTGCGCTGATATGTGCGCCCATAGGCGTTCTAATCTGAAAAGGAGGCGTTCTGAGGCGCATTGCTGGCGCGTTGCTATTTTGCTTAATTATAGTGTTTGTAATTAACCTTTTTTTTTTTAAATTAATTTGCAAAAATGTAAAGAGATCTTTTTTTATGACACTAAACGGTGCAATAATTTTAGGATTGTTTTCCGTTGTAACTTTTTTAAAACTTAAACATTTTTGATAACTGATTCACTTTTTTCTTTTATTATTTTCGACAGTGTTCTTTTTTTGTAAAGCTGTTTTGTGTTCATTTTATTGTCTATTTTTGGTGGAATTCATTTCCAAAGATGTCAAATGCTATTTTCACTAATTTTTTATTCATATTTTGTTGTTGTCAAATTCCAATAATAATAATAATAATAATAATAATAATAAATTGTTTAATTACTTCAGGAATATTTTCTTTTATACCTCATTTTAAAATAAGCAGGCCATTTTTATTTGTCTTTACTGAATGTTAAAATATTGTTAAATATTATTTTGTTTATAAAGTGATTCTTACAAAGCTATTTTGTGTTTGTTTGTCATTGAGTAAAATATATTGTGTGTTCTATTTAGGGTAAAGTTATAGTTTTTTACAATTTCATTCAGCAAGTGGGCCATATGAACAACGAAAGTGGGGAAAGTCCAGAGTTAATATAACTATGAACAGTGGCACACATTAGGGTAGTTTCATGGTCATTATTCCATGTGGTATGTAGGTAGGGCATATGTAAGTGTCAGGCTTGGGCTAAATCTGGGCCAGAATAAATCTAGATTGTGGCCCAGAATAGGGTCAGTTTAGTAATATGTGGTATTGTTTTGGCTTAATTGTGGCCCATATCTAAAAAAACAGGAGCAGAATGCCCAAGTGCCATCATTCCATGCGGTATGTGGGCCGGATGCAAGTGTCTGGTGTAGGCCGAATCTGGGCCAGAATAAAAGCACACTGTGGCCCAGAATATAGTCAGTTCTGGTTCATTTGCTTGAATTCTGCCTGACGTGGAATAGCTGTGACTTAATTGTGGCCCATATTTGGCAAACAGTAGTGGACCACCCAATTGCCATCATCCATGTGGTATGTAGGCCAGATTTAAGTGCCTGAAGTGGGCCGGATATGGACCAGAATAAAAGCAGAATGTGGCCCAGAATAGGGTCAGTTCTGGTTAATTCGGTTGAATTCTGGCTTATATGTGGAATGGCTATGGCTTAATTGTGGCCTATATCTGGCACACAGGAGTGGACCGCCCTATTGCCATCATTCCATGCGGCATGTGGGCCGGATTTAAGTGTCTGATGTGGGCCGGATCTGAGCCAGAATAAAAGCAGAATGTGGCTCAGAATAGGGTAAGTTCTGGTTCATTTGGTTGAATTCTGGCTAATATGTGGTATTGTTTTGACTTAATTGTGGCCCATATCTGAAAAAAAAGAGCAGAACGCCCAAGTGCCATCATTCCTTGTGGTATGTGGGCCGGATGCAATTGTCTGGTGTGGGCCGGATCTGGGCCAGAATAAAAACACATTGTGGCCCAGAATATAGTCAGTTCTGGTTCATTTGTTTGAATTCTAGCTGACATGTGGAATGGCTATGGCTTAATTGTGGCCCATATTTGGCAAACAGGAGTGGACCGCCCAATTGCCATCATCCATGTGGTATGTAGGCCAGATTTAAGTGCCTGAAGTGGGCTGGATATGGACCAGAATAAAAGCAGAATGTGACCCAGAATAGGGTCAGGTCTGGTTCATTTGGTTGAATTTTGGCTGACATGTGGAATGGCTATGGCTTAATTGTGGCCCATATCTGGCACACAGGAGTGGACCGCCCAATTGCCATCATCCATGTGGTATGTAGGCCAGATTTAAGTGCCTGAAGTGGGCCGGATATGGACCAGAATAAAAGCAGAATGTGGCCCAGAATAGGGTCAGTTCTGGTTCATTTGGTTGAATTCTGGCTTATATGTGGAATGGCTATGGCTTAATTGTGGCCTATATCTGGCACACAGGAGTGGACCGCCTATTGCCATCATTCCATGCGGCATGTGGGCCGGATTTAAGTGTCTGATGTGGGCCGGATCTGAGCCAGAATAAAAGCAGAATGTGGCTCAGAATAGGGTAAGTTCTGGTTCATTTGGTTGAATTCTAGCTAATATGTGGTATTGTTTTGACTTAATTGTGGCCCATATCTGAAAAAAAGAGCAGAACGCCCAAGTGCCATCATTCCATGTGGTATGTGGGCCGGAAGCAATTGTCTAGTGTGGGCCGGATCTGGGTCAGAATAAAAACACATTGTGGCCCAGAATATAGTCAGTTCTGGTTCATTTGGTTGAATTCTAGCTGACATGTGGAATGGCTATGGCTTAATTGTGGCCCATATTTGGCAAACAGGAGTGGACCGCCCAATTGCCATCATCCATGTGGTATGTAGGCCAGATTTAAGTGCCTGAAGTGGGCTGGATATGGACCAGAATAAAAGCAGAATGTGACCCAGAATAGGGTCAGGTCTGGTTCATTTGGTTGAATTCTGGCTTATATGTGGAATGGCTATGGCTTAATTGTGGCCCATATCTGGCACACAGGAGTGGACCGCCCAATTGCCATCATTCCATGCGGCATGTGGGCCGGATTTAAGTGTCTGATGTGGGCCAGATCTGAGCCAGAATAAAAGCAGAATGTGGCTCAGAATAGGGTAAGTTCTGGTTCATTTGGTTGAATTCTGGCTAATATGTGGGATTGTTTTGCCTTAATTGTGGCCCATATCTGAAAAACAAGAGCAGAATGCCCAAGTGCCATCATTCCATGCGCTATGTGGGCCGGATGCAAGTGTCTGGTGTGGGCCGGATCTGGGCTAGAATAAAAGCACATTGTGGCCCAGAATATAGTCAGTTCTGGTTCATTTGCTTGAATTCTGGCTGACGTGGAATACCTATGACTTAATTGTGGCCCATATTTGGCAAACAGGAGTGGATCGCCCAATTGCCATCATCCATGGGGTATGTAGGCCTGATTTAAGTGTCTGATGTGGGCCGGATTTGGGCCAGAATAAAAGCAGAATGTGGCCCAGAATAGGGTCAGTTCTGGTTCATTTGGTTGAATTCTGGCTAATATGTGGTATTGTTTTGACTTAATTGTGGCCCATATCTGGCAAACAGGAGTGGACCGCCCTATTGCCATCATTCCATGCAGTATGTGGGCCGGATTTAAGTGTCTAGTGTGGGCCGGATTTAAGTCATATGAATTTTGCCAGCTGGGTAGCCACAATATATTTAAATTATGGTCCGCTTCTGGTGCTTCACCTTTTTATTTTATTTCAGGAATAAAGTCCAAGATTTAGAATAAAGTTACCAGTAAAATATTTTCTCTGTTTATAAACAATTCACTAGTGAAAGTCAACTTCTCTTACATCAGATTATAGTCGAAGCAACAGCCGACAGAGGATCCATTTGGTCTTAAAGCCTTTTTCGATGGATTATTTTCATTATTTATGATGGCATAGCAGTCAAAATAGGACAAATGAGCTCATGTATGGGACAAATCCTGGACCTTTGTCAGTAAAGAGTTGGTCTTCCGAGCCACCGAACACCCCCTGGCTACAGGCCTGAAAAGTTAGAACACGTTTTATGCTTATGGTAAACATGTTTTTAATAGAATTTTGGCTGTAAAAGCGCTCCTACATGTGTTATAGGTGCAGGTCAGATTTTCTCCAGGTCATAATTTATTTTGTTTATATTAATTTATGTCTAAAAAATTATTAGACCTGTCCTGTTTCATCTGGAATGCATCCCAGATCACCTTCTGAAGTGGTTTGAGCGATCGAATTTATATCCGGTCACAATAAAAGCAATGAAGTGATCAAACAGCCTCACAAACACAGATGTGACGGGATTAGCGCCTTTTGCTGTGAAGTGACATCTGACGGCTGATGACTCTGCTTGCTATTAAAGCCTTTGTCGGACAGTTATTTAAAAGAAAAAGGCAAACATAGGGAAAGGGAGGTCATGTACTGGACAAGTCAATAAATATACAGGACGTACCGGCTAATGCGACCAGTTAGCCTAGAACAGGGGTGGGCAAACTCGGTCCTGGAGGGCCGGTGTCCTGCACAGTTTAGCTCCAACTCTAATCAAACACACCTGCTTGTAGATTTCTAGTGATCTTGAAGACACTGATTAGTTTGTTCAGGTGTGTTTGACTAGTGTTGGAACTAAACTCTGCAGGGACACCGGCCCTCAGGATCAAGTTTGCCGATACCTGGCCTAGAACCTCATGGATAGGGACAGATTTTCAT